GTTACTATGTCTACCCGCACTTGTATTACATGCATAAATGTATATGTTTGAAATATATTGTAGCAGTTAAACATAAAGGTTACATAACTATGCATGTATTAATGATTGGATGGGACCGTTTGTGTCTCATTTTTATGTGAAGACGAACTGCAAAATATATAGATGTATATCACAGAAACTGCTATTTTGAATTATATGTGCCAGATGCATGTCGACTACTTGCCGAATTATATGCCATTCAGAACATCAAATATTATATTCAATTTTTGTCGCATATTGCAAAAAACAAGTTTTATGTTGTTTGTATCATTACAATGATGGTTTCATCTGATTCCTTGTATCTGAAAACATAAAACGACATATTGGTCATTATTGTCCCTTCTATAGTCATGGAGATATTAACAAATCTGGATTTTAAGCGTTCGGTGGCGGCCATCTTGGATTTTCTCAATTATCTCAATTTCCCCAAAGGTGAGAACTCCACACCCAATTGGGTATCATTATATACATATAAGTGATTAATAATCAGCAATAAAAAAAACTTTAACAACCAAAACGAGGTTAGGGCCTTGGCTGCCAGACTATGATAAAAGTATGTGACTGTAGTGCTGGTACTGTTGAAACACAGACAGCTGCTGACTCAGCAAGGCTCTGGATCCGTGTCTACTGATTTACTTTCGTACTGGGTGGTTAATTGTATTCGAATAAACTTCCAGGTTAAATCGAGTTTTATTTTATAGCAAGAATAAAAGCAGCAGGTTTCTGGATCATGAAAAACTTCTGCACAGCATACATTGAAACCGTTTTTTATGAATATGATGTTCAATATCTTTTATAGTAGCCCCTAGGTAATTAGGGTCATTCTGGAAACTCCACAACAGTTAGATAAATCACTCCCTGCCGTTTTATCAGCCCCTCAGTTCACTGTAGAACAGATCAGATTTAGAGAGACAAACGTACCTTGACCTCCCGTAGTGAGTCGAGGAACTTGTCATGGCGGTTTGTCAGCATGTGAAGCTGGTTTCCTGCGTCTTTCTCCGCCTGCTCCTTACTCTTTGGGATGGCTGTTTGATCACCTGGTGCCAACTCTATGTCTATCTCCACATCCTGCCAGACAAGAGAAGAGAAGGAAGTGTGTATTGTCAGAAAACTTCGGCAGCAAAGAAGCAATACTTCCACTTTTTCTCAGGTCAACATTTGGTAACACACCAAGCGATAAAATTGTCATTTATGTTGGTAAACGTGTCTTTTTTTGTTGTAAATTATTGTCTTTTATTGTGATTGTAGTAATGTGTTTTTTATTACATGTACAGCACTTTGGCTCGACCAAAAGTAGCTTTTAAATGTGCTATATAAATAAAACTTGATTTGATTTTTTGTGTGTGTGTGATTGCGTGTCTCACCTCCTCCTTGGTCTCACTGTTCTCTCTCTCACGTGGCTCCTGCTTGACATGCGTTGCCATGGCGAAAGCGGCGCGGTCGTGGCTGTCAGCGAGGTTGATGACGTTGGTAATTGAGGGCAGCATGGAGCCCTGGCAGCTGGTGCCGATGATGGTGTTTCGCTCACACACCGCCAGCAGCAGCTGATAAGAACGAACACACACACAGTAGTTACAATATCAAAAAAGTATTTGACATAGGAACACGCTGATACCGTCCAACTGTAACGGCATGTCCACACACAGGCATGAAAAAAATCTTTCAAAGCTTTGTCTATTCACTTGAATGGGGTGACGTAGAAGATTTTTAATCTTCGCCAAACTGCATTGTGGGGAGCGGAGCATGGCTTTGCAAGCATCGTGAGCATCAAAAGTTGAGCAATGTTCAACTTTTGATGCTCCCAATGCTTGCGAAGCTGGCATCAGCCAATCAAATCCCGTTTATGCAAATCCCGCCAGTGCAAGCGCTAGCCAATCAAACCGCGTGCAAGCTGGGAGAGCCAGACCGCAGTTCATTTCCTCATATTCCAAACGAGAAGTTACGGTAGCAAATCACCCGGTTCTTTACGACCAGAACTATTTACCGGGATACAAACCGGAGGAACCAGGCATGGAGGGAGGTGGCAGAGACAGTTGGTGAAACTGGTAGGTTTTCGCCTGTTTGATGAGTTTATATCCAGTTTACTTCGTTTTAACATTGCTATTGCTTTGTATGTCGGGGGCGGGAGATTCATGTGATTGGTTGTTGGTCGCAAAAAATCGCCAAGCTTCAGAGACACCCAGCAT